AAAAAACGTTTATTTTTATCATTAGGGAAATTATGATATTCTATATCACAAGTCACACTTAGTGCGACGGGGTATAATATTATATAACTACCGTAAAGGGTTGACTAAAGTACCCCCTCTAAGTGTATCTTCCCGGCATTTTTAGGAACAAAAAATGTATTATACCCCGGGTACAAAAAACCAAAATCAAAAATTTTTATTTTTAAAAAATGTATTATACCCGGGGTACAATACTTCGATTAAATTATTTAGACATAAAATGTTTATTTATTTGATATATATAAAAATTCAATACAAAAAAAAATTTCAAAAAAAAATTAATTTCAAACATTTTCATAATTTGATAATTCTTCATCATATTCATTAAATTCTAAATCTTCTACTGGTAAATCACTTGAAATTACTACTATATTTGTTTGTTTTTCAATAAATCTATTTTTATCTGTATTAACTAAATGCTCTCTAAAGAATCTAAAACTAGAAAGATTGAGGATTACCTAATAGATTACGTTGATTTCATACATTTTTCAATCTACCATAACATTTTATTTTTATTCATCCATTTTTTTTCATTTACACAAATATTAATATCTTGAGGAAATTGCTCTTTTAAATATTTTTTAGTTTAAAAATACAAGTAGCTGGAAGTTTAATACCATCAGCCAAACATGATAAAATAACAGTAAAATGAGTTTTTTCATGACCAATTGTATGAATAGTTACTGTTAAAGTATCACGTTGATCTAATATTATATTTGAAAGTAAATCAAAAGTAACTGAAGTTTCATTTATATTACCAATATATTTTAAAAGATAATCATATTAAATTTTTCAATATAAAATAAAACTATGAAAACTTTGTTATTTTTGTAAAAGATCATCTGAAAGTTATTGCACAATATGAGTTTATTGATGTATTGCAAAATTAACCCTTTCAATAAAACCTTCTAAATATGCATTTAAAAATTTAAAAATATTAATATTTGAATAAAGATTAAGATAATCTTTAGTTATAGATTTAGCTTTTTGAACAATCATATTTCACATAATAGTTTTTACTGCTTGACGTATATCTGTTACCCATAAAGACAAACTTCTTTCAAGTTCTAAAAGATATACATTTCTTTTTCTATTCAGTTTTTGAATATAAAAAGCTGTATTTTCTAATTGATTTTTTTGGTTTTTCTAATATTGTATTTGTTTAAGTTCAACATCAAATTTTTTAGCTGCTAACCTATTACTTTCACATTGTTCAGCATAATGGATAATAAGTAACTTCTTTCTTGCATATCACTACCTTTTTTTCTTCAAAGTTATATGAAATTTTTTTTGTAAAACTTTTATTACAATGTACTATCATTTTATTTTTGAGAAAAAGAGTTTTGTGTAATTTTTTGAAAGAATGCATTAGAAAAAAATTAATTTATTATGCATTATATTCTGATCTAAAATTAATTTCAAATCACATCCTCTAAAAAAGCAACATCTAATTCTACTAGAATATATTAGTAAAGTTTGAATTTTTTTTTTGAATTACTCATTGTCTTATTTTTTTAGAGCAACTATCAAGTTTGGTTGTTATAAACGATTTCACAAAAATTTGTCATTTTTTAATTAGTTTAGCAAATATGCTTGTATTCCTTCCCTTAATTAAAGTATCTTATAGTATTGTACTTCCTAAAGTTCGAAAATTTGTATTATACTTAGGGTACTTTAGTCAGCCCTTTACAATAAGGCTCTATCAAGCAATGTCCAAAGAAAATTCTCTAGGCACCATTTAGATCTCTATTAATTTGAAATTCATATTTATCACATCTAAATACTTTATTTTTACCCAAATTCCTCTTAATATATTCGCAATGACTGTATGTTTTACTTGTATATGCTTTAAATACAGATGTTATTATAATTTTATCAAATTCGTTCGCTTTAGATAATAATTGATTCCTAAACCTAGTATGCATCCAGCTCATTATTTTTTAAACTGTTTTATTATTAATTTTTCTTTTTTGCCTACAAGACATCAGTATGCTATTAAATTTAGGTAACACAATTATGTCAAACGTCTTAGTCAATCACAATGCAGTTTTTTATACATTTCATTCACTAAATTTTGAATATGTCTTCTCATGCATGTTTGAGCGTGTTTAATAGAGTTATGCTTTTTTATTAATACTCTGATAATGTGTGAGATAAAGATATCAAAAGCTAAGCATAAATGAAAAATACAATTGATATTATTGTCTCCAATGTTTTATAACCAACTGTGGAAGAATACCATGTAAGAAAGATGCGAACTCTAGGATCAATAGCTGCAATGTGAATTTCTTCTGCTTGATTCTTACAGATAAACTTTCCATATACTCATACAAATATTCAATATCCTAATTTCCTCTTGTATATTAATTTTGAATCTATTTAACTTTATCAATCTCATTTGACCAACTATAATTGCATCTACAATGTTTATGATAAAATGATAGCTTCATTTTTTGACATGGATGATTAGAATCAATAACAAGAAGTTTCTTATTATGTAGGAGCCTAATATAAAAATGAAGTGGTTCGTAACAGTATTGAGCACAGATGGTAATTGACTGATGATCATTTTTCTTAGATATAAAATGAAGAACATAATATTGATATTAATTTTCCTTATTCCTTTTGATAACTTCATCTTTTACTTATATAGTGTCTGAGATAACATGATCTAATACTTCATATGGAACCTTATTCATAAAAATCCATTCCTTTGTATGTTTAATCTTTAACCAGAAGAGCATTCTAAAGAAAAATTGCCTTGTAGTCCTATGATCCAAATGGCAATTATCCATTACTATATTGTAAACTAATCTAACACAACCCATTCACTGTCGAAACAAGATTTTTTAAGAGAAATTAGGATACATTCATATTTTTAGTGATCATATTAAGTCTGCCATCTTTATTCTTTTGGCTTATCATGTTATTTTCTTCTCACGTTTTTGTTTTTTATCTTGTTTTCATTCTCGTCTGTATCTGAATAAATTAAGTCAATTAGAATTCATTTGCTTGATTATTTATTACAAAAATAAAGTTAAAGTTAAATATTTATATAAAAAAATAAAATATTTACCTAGCAAAATACTTTTCTTGTAATCGGCAAATGAAGACTGTATTAATGGCAAGGATATCCTAAGATAGTTTCCATTTGTCTGTTAGGTTATCTTCTGAGAAAATCACAATCTTTGTGTATTAAGTTTGAAGACAAACTCGAAAAGGTCAAAGGCAAACTGACATAGTCTGTCTTTGTAGGTAATAACAACTTCTTTAACCAGTTCGTGATTTGATCATTCCAATAAGGAACGCAATCTGGATCTCTTAAAATTGATACCAGAGCTGAATGTCTGAAATAAAGCAGTGACTTGAAAATTGTGAGAGGAGGTATTGTTTCTGTCTTTCAAGATCTTCTTTCTGTTTTAAGCTGGAGACCCTAGCATAAACAAAATATTCTAAGAAGAAGGAGGTGGTGGTGGTGGTAGTGGTGATAATAGCATGATTTCTAAGTATAGATTCGATGTTATAAACTCTGTATCCTAAGGAAGTCTAGAAGATTGTATTTTGCTCTTCCTATTCCAACGCCAAAGTGCACTAGCTGAAATGCCTAAAAGTTTAGATGCTTTAGAAGCAGAAAGCAACATAAGTTTTAACTAATATCTGTGTTATAATATATAAATACATAAAGACGTAAAACACAATTTAAAAAGTTGGTTATGAATAGAGATAGAGTTGCAACGCTAATGAATGCTTATTTGCCTTATTTGTAAACGTTTAATTGAAGGTAATGCCGATCGTAGATCACAGAATTTACTCTGTTAAAATAAATGATTAATGACCCTACTCTCAACGGATTATTAACTAGCAAGAGTTGGTTGCGTGAAAATATTAAATATCTTAGTCATACTATCAAGATATTGACTGCGTATTAACGCAAAAATATTTTAAATATTCTTAATATTTATTTCAAAATAACAATAACTACAAAAACTTTGAAACTCTAATTTAAATCGTCGATATTAAATAATCTATAAAAATCCCCCCAAAAAATACCAATCTCTAATCTCTTTCCTAATTATTTTTTTAAACTTTACAAATTTCTTTAAAGTTGCAATTAAATTTATCACCTATTAATTCTTTAAATTTATTCCATTCACAGTAATTTGAACCACATCCAGGTATAGTAACAGATTTTTCATTAACTAATGCATGAATATAAGTTGAGGTATGAACGCCTTTTTCAACGCATGTATAAATTTCAAAATACACACTTGATGAAAAATAAAAGATAGCCGAAGTTCTAAATTTTCTTTTATACATATTTTCAGGAAGTGAATTAACTGTCAATGGAACTTCATCCTCATACAATCCCTATTAGATTTATAAATTAAAAAAAAAATTATTATTATTATAAAGGAAAACTTATTTTTTGAAATAAATATATATTTTAACTTACCATGATTGTTGTTAAGAATTGAAGAGATTCACTATGACCAAATTTCAAATCAGCTTTTAAAGTCGAATTACCGATCAAGTATTTATCAATATTACTAATGATATTACTGATTAATCTACAACCTAATTTTTCATTCAATTCATTACCATAAGAGTATAAATGATAATCTAACACGTCACCATAATATTCTATCTCTAATATTTCATTTTGGTTAAGTAAAGAACACCAAGTGCTTGTTTCATCATAATATGATATAGCAAATGCACATGCTTTATAAATGGCTTCTGCTTGTTTAGGTGTAAGTTCTGGTGTAATATGAAATGATTCTGATATACGAGTAGCGATTTTGGATAAATATTTGGCGGAAAATTCGGCCTTTTCATTTTCAAGAAGGACATTATTTTTTTCAACTGTTTCCAACCAACGTGGACATGAAGTATGCATCAATAATTCTTCGTCTTGGGCCTAAGTATAATTTAAAAAATATTATTATTCAGAAACTAAAAAAAATCAGACAGAGAAAATATTTCCAACTTTACATAGGGTGTATGAACTGGTCATATAAAATACATGAACCTTTGTAATGCCTTTGGTGTTTCGTTTTTTACAAAGTAATCTGGAAACCCAGAAAATTTTTTATACAAAAATACTATTTAATGTTTCACGTAATGTTCATACACCCGTATACATATATATAATCTACTTACTTTTGGAGTAGAAGAAATGTAAACAGATTGAGATTCATCTTTTCCTAAAATTCCTTCCCCATTTAATAAACCAAGAGAATAAGCAAACCCGGACATACCAGTTCTTTTTATAATAATAATATTATTAATACATTTTAACTTGAAACACTAATAAATATAAATTATCACTCACCTAGCAACGGATGTACTCTGAAATGAAATAACATTTGGATCGTAAGGTAAATTTTTATTCCAAAATTTTTGATAACGTTTGCGTGATCTTTTTCCCATTAAATAGTGTTCCTTTTCACCTCTATAAGTTATTAATCCTTGCTTCCTTAACGGGAATGGATTTTTATACTAAGAAAAGGAATGTCCTTTAATTATTTGCTGTATTTAAACATGAAATCCAAAGTACGATATATTTACCCAGTCTTTTGCGTATGGAACATTTTGAAAGATTTTTTCTAATTCATTAAAAGAGTTAATATCAGTATCAGTAGGATACCGAGTACCTAAATAAAGTATACAAAAAAATATATATATATTGAGTTAAGGTTTGTTCCATACAACGAAGACTGTATAAAAAAAAAAATAAAAGTTTATTTACCATGCCTAGCAATAAGATATAATTGTTGTAATTCACATGTATGATATGTTTTAATTGGTTTTGCTTTATCGGTAAACAAAAGTGGTAATGTTTTCGTTCCCATATGTTTCGTAATATCGAAACATTCTGAATATTGAATATATACAAGAAGAGGTAAACACCAAAAGAAGTTTGTTATGAAAATTTTCATTTTATTATGTTGAATTAAAGAAGGCATTCATTCTCCTTATTTATTTGTTTTGCCCATCTGATCGTCAACAAATAAAATCTAACCGAATTCAGTAATGTCAATAACGAATTTCTCATTGAAATGCAGAAATGCAACAAAAAAAAAAAAAAAAAAAAACGCCAATACGCGTTATATATAAACCTATCTAAAGTTATTTCACTTTTTAAAAATATCATAGTAAATTTTTTTTGAATTCAATATATTTCTTATTTAAGTAAGTTTTTTCTAATAATATTTTTCTGTTTTGTTAAAAAAATTATACAATTCATTTTACAAATTTAACCCTTGAATCAAACTTTAAAAAAAAAAAAATGTTTTTAGATATTGAATCCTTGAAACTTTGTTTCATAGTTATTTTAATTTTTTTCTTTTTATAGTAAAAATAGTAAAAAGTATTATTTCCTAAATATAGACAATCTTCGTTTAAAATAAAATCTTGAAATTTTTTTTTATTCTGAGATTCGAAAGAAAAGAATTTCATCTGCTTGTTCAAGCAAAATCTACGTTTCAACCGCAAGTTTGGTACCAAATCTGATTGTTTCCATAGTTGTGGCTCGTGCAAACGACTCTGTCCCTTTTGTAAATCTCTAATAATTTAACTTAGTTGCTATATTCAGATGTTGCTTGTTACAGTATAATGCTACATCATATTAATTACATTGAGAAGAATTCTTTGAAAAAGTTTCATTATTTTTTCTACATTTATAATGTTATTAAAAACAAGTATTTCTTTTTTTCTTTATATTTTGAAACATGATATTTATTAGAATATTAAGCGGTTCTAAACGGTTCTAAGCAGTCCTAAAAATTACAAAAAATTATTTTTACAAATTTATTATTAAACTTGTTTTTAATAAACTACTTAATAATAAATCCTCTTGGAATCCCAGAATTTCTTAAAATTTAAAATTTTAGAATTTAGAATTAAGTTTTTCAGACTGGTTTCATACTGTACTTTAGCAATTCCATCAAATTTAAATATCATTTTCGTTTTATACAACAATTTTTTAATAGGGGTAGTTATTATAAATAAGTAATTAAACTTCTCTACAATGAGTAATTTCTTAAATTGTAAAGATTATTTAAAGACTGTTTTATATTTCTAATTATTACTAATAAATCTACTGTAATTATAAGTATCTATTATTCTATATTTTTTTTACATTAGCTTTTTCTTTAATAAGATCATAATTATGTGTTGTTTATTTTAAAAGATCATTTTTGATTAAATTATATGAATATTACATAACTTTTAATTCTTTACAAATAAAAAAGTAATTAATAATTAAAGGTAATATAAATTATTAGTTATATCTGCATAACTGATCAGCTTTATTAAATATTTCTTATATAATAATTATATAAGTAAGCCTTATAAACAAATTCTTTAAATACTAATTTATTTTATTACTACTTATACTTATTTCTTATCTATTTTATTAATTTGCTTTCATCTTCATCAATAATATATATTATTGTTAATATTTTTATAATATTAATAATAATAAAATATTATTTGCAATTATACTTCTTAAAAAATTCTATTTTAAATAAGATATATTTTAATTAATTGTAACTGATAATAAATAAGCATTATAGATCAGTAATAGTAAATATAAGATCATTTACAGTCAATTATTATTATAATAAATTCTATGTCCTAGACCTTAACTTAACTATAAAACTATAGTGAAGATTTTAAGAGATTTGATTGGTCAATTTACTATAACAAAAGTATTTTTATTATATTTGTTAAAAATTCATTATATTAAAAATTCATTATATCAAGAGTTGACTGTACTATTTTTTAAATGACTTTTAGTTATTTTGACTTGAATTTATAATAAAAATGATATCATTTGAGATCATTTAAGGTAATTTCAAGTTTATTTGTTAACACTGTTACAGGTTGTAATTAGTTGTGATATTAAAAAAAATTGAATTATAGCTAATGGTAACTAATAATAAATAAGCATACATAGTTGCAACTAATTGCAATATCATCTTTAATTTTAAGACTTTTTTTAAAAAATTAACAAAAAATCTATATTAATTATATTATACATTTCATTTTAAAGAAAGAAAATACTTTTTTAATATAAGAAAATATACATATTCTACCTAAAGATAACACTGCAATTAGTTGCAACTATGTAATACTTATATGTTACCAGTTACAATTAATTGCAGCCTTATGATGCTTATTTGTCACCAGTTGAACTAATTGTAACGCTATTTTTAATTTTACCTTTATCACGTGATAATTAATTATATAAATAATAATATAACATATAAATTTTCAATAAAAAAAGTAAAAATTGTTAATTTAAATTTCGTTACAATAAAATATTAAGCTTTTTAAAATGAAAATATTATAACAATAAAATTTTAAAGTTTTAAATGAAAATTTGCAATATTATATATTATACACAATAAATAGTTTCATAATGCAATTTTTTAGCATTTTCTAGTGATTAAAGAAAGCTAAACTTAAATTATTACTGCAATTTAAGTCAGTCACCAGCTTGAATTACAATATTAATTTAAACCATAATATACTAAATAACTAAAAATTTTCTTTATTTTACTTGATATCTATTTTTTTATTTTTTTGTAAATTATGATACTATGTTATTTTAGTGATTTATAAAAATAGATACTAAATTTAAAAATGATTCAAGAAGCAAATAATGATTCACAATTAAATTTACTTAATATCATCAATACTTAATAATTTTTATATCAAATATTATTTATAATTTATATTAAATTTTTTATTCTATTAATAATGCTTTAAATAATGATATAATAATAGCTAAAAATAAACAAAATTGAGAAAAGGTTAAAGGATTATTAGATTATCTAAATTTAAATTTTGTATTAATTTAATATATTTCAATAAAATTATATATTATTCTAATATTTTATTTAATTTAAAAGCAATAATATTAGTAATTATAATACAATTTATCAAATATAATGATACAAAATTAATATATAGATTTGTATATATAAGCACTTTGCAGTAGAAGGAAGAAATTTACTATAAGCTAAATATTATTTTTTTAGTAAAATAAGTTCAGATTTAATATTAATTCAAAAAATTTTTTTGGTAATTTCTTCCTTTTCTATTACAAAGAGTTCATATAATCAAAAATTTTACAAATTAAAAACATCTTTCTTCTTCTATATTTGAATTTGTAACAACAATAATTCAAAGTTTAAAATCTCATTTTTTAGATACAAATTTATATAATACAATAAAAATCTTTATACCAAAGTTATTACCTTATAAGGATTGTGATCTATCAAATTATGAAAATGCTGAAATTGAAATATTGGCAAATTTTTATGATAATGATATAAAATGGTAAAATTAATTTAGCATTAATTAATAAACAGAAATTAAAATAGAATGATATTCAAAATTTAAATAATATAGATATTATAATTTTTTTTTACAAAACCATATTTTTGTTATTATTCCCTTATCTAATACTTATATAGAACGCATCTTTTCTCAACAGATTAACTAAAACTAAAATCGAAATCGATGAATATAGATTGGAAATCCGCTTATTATTTTTGGAATATTAAATTGCAGTTGCAAAATTTTCTAGCACTGGTGACATCAATTATACCGTATATTGCGGGCCATAGTACCCGGGTCCTTTGCAAATTTTAGAGGTTTTGGCCGTACTCGGGGGTACATTACACCGGTGGATACTATACATAGGGGGGGTACAGAAATTGTAAAATACCCCGGATACTTACCGTG